TTTGAAGCATGTGTTCTTGGGCGAAAATCACACTCTACCGGTGATTATCTCAAACTCCTTAGCCCAAGAACAAGAGGAAAGATTGATTGCGGTCCTCAAGGAGTACAAGTTGGCCATTGGATGGTCTATCGCCGACATCAAAGGCATTAGTCCATCCACATGCATGCACCGGATCCTACTCGAAGATGAGGCCAAGGCGGTGAGGCAACCGCAAAGAAGATTGAACCCACCCATGATGGAGGTGGTGAAAAAAGAAGTGATCAAGTTACTCCAAATGGGAATCATATTTCCCATTTCCGATAGCAAATGGGTAAGCCCAACACAAGTGGTGCCAAAGAAGACCGGAGTGACGGTCATTGAAAACAAAGAAGGCGAAATGGTGCCCACCCGAGTCCAAAACGGGTGGCGAGTTTGCATTGACTACCGAAGACTCAATTCGGTAACTAGAAAAGACTTTTTTCCACTACCCTTCATTGATCAAATGCTAGAAAGACTAGCGGGGCACAAGTTCTATTGTTTTCTTGATGGTTACTCCGGGTATTTTCAAATACCAATAGCCCCGGAGGACCAAGAGAAAACAACCTTCACATGTCCATTTGGCACTTTTGCCTACCGACGAATGCCCTTTGGATTATGCAACGCACCGGGCACCTTTCAAAGGTGTATGATGAGCATCTTCTCCGAATTTGTGGAGGTGTTCATGGAAGTCTTTATGGATGATTTCACAATTCATGGGGATTCCTTTGACACCTGCCTCTACCATCTTACTCTTGTGCTCAAAAGTTGTATTGAATCCAACCTTGTCCTAAATTCTGAAAAATGCCACTTTATGGTGGAACAAGGGATTGTTCTTGGACATGTGATCTCTTCAAAAGGCATTGAAGTAGACAAAGCCAAGATTGATGTCATCCAAACACTCCCGTACCCAACAAATATACGGGATATTCGATCTTTCCTTGGACATGCCGGATTCTATAGAAGGTTCATAAAAGACTTCTCCAAAATTTCATCTCCCCTATGCAAACTCTTGCAAAAGGAGGTGGAATTTGATCTCAATACCGAATGCAAGGAGGCTTTTGACACATTGAAAGAAAGGTTGGTAACCGCCCCTATCATACAAGCCCCCGATTGGTCTCTTCCTTTTGAGATCATGTGCGACGCAAGTGATTATGCTGTGGGGGCTGTTTTAGGCCAAAAAGTCGGGAGGGCTTCTCATGTAATCTACTATGCCTCATCGACTTTAAATGAAGCTCAAAAGAACTACTCCACCACCGAGAAGGAAATGCTAGCAGTAGTTTTTGCCTTAGAGAAGTTGCGTTCCTACCTTCTTGGAACGAAAGTTATTGTTTACACCGACCATGCCGCTCTACGGTTCCTCATGACAAAGAAGGAGGCCAAACCAAGACTCATTCGATGGGTCCTTCTATTAAGTGAGTTTGACTTGGAGATAAAAGACAAGAAAGGGGCGGAGAACTTGGTGGCCGATCATTTAAGCCGCCTCATTCCTCACAAAGACATTGAAGACCTTCACTCAAATCTTATCAAAGGTGAATTCCCATACGAAACCCTTTTCGCCATCAAAGTCACACAACCATGGTACGCCAACATAGTAAATTTTCCTGTTTCGGGCAAATTTCCTCCACAATTCTCAAAATCACAAAAAGAAAAATTAAAAATAGACTCAAGACTCTATGTGTGGGATGACCCATATTTGTGGAAACATTGTAAGGATCAAATAATCCGAAGATGTATCCCCGAATATGAGATAGCTCACATCATAGAGTTTTGCCATTCTTATGCTTGTGGAGGACATTTTGGCCCGAAACGGACTGCAATGAAAATTCTCGAAAGCGGATTTTGGTGGCCAAGTCTTTTTCGTGATGCGAATGGTTTCTGTCGGGCTTGTGACAATTGCCAAAGGACGGGCAACATCTCAAGGAGGAACGAAATGCCACAAAACCCCATGCTTTTCTGTGAGATTTTTGATGCATGGGGTATCGACTTCATGGGGCCTTTTCCAAACTCTCAAGGTAACATCTACATCCTACTTGCGGTAGATTACGTCTCCAAATGGGTGGAGGCAAAAGCAACAAAAACCGATGATGCCAAGGTGGTAGCAAACTTTCTCAAGTCTCACATATTTTCAAGGTTCGGGGTCCCTCGAATTTTAATAAGCGACCGAGGCACACATTTTTGTAATAAAATTGTGGGATCCCTACTGAAGAAATATGGTGTGACTCACAAGATCTCCACTGCTTACCACCCTCAAACTAATGGCCAAGCGGAGACCTCAAATAGGGAGTTAAAATCTATACTCCAGAAAACAGTGAATCCAAACAGGAAGGATTGGAGTATTCGCATTGATGATGCACTTTGGGCATACCGAACCGCCTACAAAACCCCAATCGGTATGTCACCTTATAGACTTGTGTTCGGAAAAGCTTGTCACCTTCCCGTAGAGCTTGAACACAAGTCATATTGGGCAGTAAAAGAATTCAACCTCAATCTTGACGAGGCCGGTATACACAGGAAGCTCCAATTACAAGAATTGGAAGAACTCCGCCTGGATTCTTATGACAATGCGGAGATTTACAAAAGAAAGACGAAGGAGTGGCATGATAAAATGATCATAAGGAAGGATTTCAAACTTGATGACAAAGTCCTCCTATTCCAATCACGCCTTCGTCTATTTCCGGGAAAGTTGAGATCCCGTTGGGCCGGACCATACAAAGTGGTCAAAATCTATCCACACGGGGCGGTGGAAATTGAAGACCCGGAGACGGGAGAAGTGCTCAAAGTGAACGGACAAAGACTAAAACCCTTCTTTGAGGGTTTTCAAACCAAGAACGTGGAGATCATAGACCTTTCTGAACCGGTCTATGAATGAAGGAGAAACGAAGATATCGTCGAGCCACGACGTTAAATAAAGCGCTTCTTGGGAGGCAACCCAAGCAAGGTATGTTTTCTTTTAAACTTATTTCATTATGTGTGCGTTTAAAAAATTAAAAAATAAAAAAAAAAGAATAAAAAGAAAAAAAAATGGTGAAAAAAATGTATCTGGGGACATGCCCGATCGAGTACTCTACAATACTCGGTCGGGTATGGGTAAAAAAGGGGACCCGGTTTCCATACTCGATCGAGGTACAGATCAATTTTCAAAGATACAGGCATACTCGATCGAGTATTGGAACATACCCGGTCGAGTATGCCTGGAAAATCAACTCCATCGGAAGCCTGCCTCCGAGGCCCGATCGAGTACATATCTATACTCGATCGAGTATAAGCGGAAAAATAAAAGCAATAAACCCCTGCTTCCTATGCCCGATCGAGTACATATCAATACTCGGTCGAGTATAAGAGGAAAAACAACTTCTGTAAGCCCCTGCCTCCGGTACCCGATCGGGTATACAGGGATACTCGATCGGGTACCCCTGCGATTTATACCCCAAAAACACCCATTTTCACTTCATCTTCTCCAAATAAACACCAACTTCGAACACACACCCCCAACCTCCATTTTTCCATCTTCTCTCTACCATATCTCTCTCATTTCTTCACCAAATCATCTCATTTCACCACCAAAATACTCCCTTCACTCTCCTCTCCATATCTATACCCAAAAATCCCATTTCCCCCAAACTTCCACAAAATCCCAAAAAACCCTACCCCATTCGAATTTTTGCCTCTTTAAGCTCAAAAGCTTCACATATGGCACCAAGGAAGAATAGGGGAGAGAGCTCAAGCACCATAGCACCTATCCCAGGCTTTGAAGACATCATTCCCGCCAACGCCGAACACCGAACTCGCCTCCTATCGACAACAAAAAGGCAAGTAAAACCTTCCCGTTTTCTATGCCATGATGCACTACGTGAATTAGGAGTGTATAAGATTATGAGGAAATTCTTTCATCAATTGGACATGGACCTTGTTTTCAATATGAGATACAACTCAAATGAAAAGATTATTTATGAATTCATGAGTTCAGTACGTGCACTTTGAAAGTGATGAGGCGGATTTTAGGGATGATAGACTCGAGTTTCGTCTGTTTAACCGAAACTATTCGATAACGAAACTCGAGTTTTCTGAACATTTTGGCATCCCCGTCCCCTACGAAAGGTCCATCTCCGATAACACCATTTTTGGGCATTCTCTATGGACCAAGATGACTGGGGAAGTGGACTTTAGCTCCTCCCAAATGTATATAAGTCATGTCCAACACCCCATCCACCGGTTGTTTTTAAAATTCTTGGCAAATTGCTTGCTTGGGCGACCCAACAATCACCACACTAGAATAGGGGATGTATGTTTGATCTCCGTAGCTTTATTTCGTCGTCATGTGGACTTCAATTTGTGCAATCTCATTTGGGCACACCTCAAAAAGGAAAGCGTGGCAAAAGGAGCCATTGTAATGGGTGGAGTAATCATGCACTTGGCAAGCAAGTTCGGGTATACGGATAACTCTCCGATACCCGACTATTGTTTGATGGACATAGGTTGGCTAGGCCGCTCGGGGTGCACCACTTTCTCCCATACGGTCTATGATGGGGATCAACAGAAGAACATGTATAATTGGATCATACACACCAAACCGGTCCAATACTTTCTAATGCCAAACAGAGACCTCCCCAAAATAACCTATAGACCGGAGTTCGAGGTGCCCCATTTCCTATTCCCTCATGCCCTTCCACCACATCTCCAAGAACCACAAGCCCAAAATCTCCCAGAAGACCAACCCGACCAAGAACCTCAACCCGAGTACCAAGAACCCGAGGTTGCACATCACTACCTACCCGCACCAAACCAAGCCCCCCCACCTCCCGATTACTTCCAACAAATACTTGAAGGACTCAACAAAGTTACCAACGAAGTTGGTAAGTATCGGGAGGAACAAAGGGCGGGATTTCAAAGAATAGAAGAGCAAAGGGCCGAAGACAACCGACGGTATGAAGAGGATCAACGTAGGTTCTATGGACCGATGTACTCTTACATGGCTCATCAAGGCCAATTCCACACCATGGCTCAACCACCACCACCCCCCTCTTGGTATGACCCCACTCAATGGGGTAATTTTGGAGGATCTAGCTCCGGGGGTGGAGGTTTTGATGGAGGGCATGATGGCGGCGACACCCACATGGGCGATGGGAGCTTTGGAGGAGGCTTTGGAAGCGGCTTTGGAGGCGGCTTCTACGGGGGAGAAGGCGGGCACTAGGGACAGTGCTTCAACTAAGTGTGGGGGAGGAGATTACTCATGGTATGTACTTTCATTTTCTACCTTTTACTATGCATGAATCTCTTTTACCCTTTGTAAACAAAAAAAAAAAAAAAAAAAGAAGAAGAGAAAAATGGATAAAAGAATTGAAATGCTAGTTAGGTTGAAAACCCAAAAATGGGCAATCTAAGCAAAAAAATGGCTTATAAAAAAAATGAAATGAGTGAGTTAGTAAGGATGGAAAAACAAAAAGAGATGCTAGGATGAAAACCTGAAAAGGCTCCTAGGCAAAATGAGAGATATGAGAGAAATATTTGTTGTGTGCAGGAACTCATTTGATCTCTTGAGGAGAAAAGAAGAGAAGGCAAAGAAGAAGAGGCAAGAAGATGGAGCATAGAAGATCATAAAACCCAAGAAAGAAAGTTGTTTGTAAAAATCATTTTCTTATTTCTTGGTGATCTTAGTTCATTTCTTTCTTGAACTCATGGAATGGTCTTAAACTGTTTGAACATTTGACTTTACTCGAGGACGAGTAAAGAACTAAGTGTGGGGGAGTTGATACGTTTGTAATTTCCGTATGTTTATTTACGCTTTTAGTTAGTTTTGATTGTTTAATATTTCGGAAATTACACACTTTCGGTGTAATAGTTTAGTTTGTTAAATTCTTGTAATTTGTTTAGATTAGGTTTATTCTGAGCTTAAACAGGTCCAAGATCAATCAAATGATCAATGGTGAAGGAAGGTGCAAGAGTACAAGACAAAAAGAAGGAAAAATCCTGATTTTGGTCTATACTCGATCGAGTATATACATATACTCGATCGGGTATCTGGTTGACATTTCAAATCGGATCGGATCCGAAAACAAAGGAACATGCAGGAGAAGATTTTCCCACGTTCGAGTGTCTATACCCGATCGGGTATGCTTATATACTCGATCGGGTATGCATATAAAATCTACTCGAGTATTGATCGAGTATTGACCAAATTCTGATTTCTATACATACTCGATCGAGTATGTATACATACTCGATCGAGTACTCGATCCTGCACCTCAAAAAGCCTATAAATACACCCCCTTTCCTTCACTTTTAGATACCAATTCTCATATACTCTTAAGCTCAGTTTAGAATAGCACTTCTCTATATTTCTTTTAGCATGTTTAGTCTCCAAATGAGGAGCTAAACTTCCATTTCTTGGTTTTGCTCTTGAAGCTTGATTGATTATTAAAGTTGTGAGTTATTTTCTTACTTTCTCCTCTTGATTATTAATTCTTCCCTTAATCTCATTCTATATCATTGTTGGAGGGTGGCTAAGTGACGATTAGTTAACGTTCCAACATTGATTATTACTAGAAACGTTCAATGAACCGATGGTTAAACGTTGAAGGTTTCACAAGTAAGTAACTTCGGTTTGTTAATGCACGGTCGTGGTTAATAAACTTAAGAGGGATCAATTTTGTTGGTTAAACCAAAACCGTTGCGTTGAGGTTATCAATCTCAATTGATTTCATCAAGGAGTTAAATAGATTAAATGCTACTATTATATCGGTATACGGCGTTGTTCTATATTTGATTAATAGTGAGGGTTATTAATGAACGGTTGTTGTTAATAACTACCCTCGATGAACTGGTTATACTCCGCGATTGAGTATTCGAGAGGGGATAAGTTATGGATATAACAATGATCGACTAAAATATATCAACAAGTGGAAAGTAGCAAGACCAAGTCCCTTTTATCTTTGAATTAAATCCCATATAAATCGTTCATCTTCGTGTTTAATTTAATTAAATCACTCAACAATCAAACCCCCCCCCCCCCTTTTTACTTGCTATTTATATAAAAAGAAAGTTATTCCTTTCCCTGTGGATACGAACTCTACTACGCTATACTACGTATAAGTGTTGTATTGAATATTATTTTGAGTGCACCTCACGACAAGTGCACGTCAGTCACCGTCTACCTTTACGTTCCAGAGCATCCAGTCCATTAGAGCATCTTTAATGGGGATGTAGATTTCACCTCATAAAAAATGGACATGTCACCTATATAGACGGTCTGTGGGGTTGAGGTGGACGCACGGACATTTAAAACAAATTATCCGCTCCAACGCATAAAGGGGAATTCTAAAGCAATAAAAACCATCTACGTTCTTATCTTCAAAAAACTGCCGCAGGTTTATTTCCAAAGTATATAATTCTTCTTCTACAAAAAAAATACTCCGTATAACTACTCTGTTAGTTCTTCATCTTCAAAAGCATAACTTGAAAACAATCTTATTTCTTGGAGGTTACCTCGGGCTTCAGAAGTTACGTACAGAGCATGAAAGTCGAAGTCACATAGATGATTTATTTTGCTTCCATAAGTTGATTAAAGAATCTTTGTTTCTTTGTGGTTCTCCACACTTCAATTTAAACAAAATAAAATGATTGTAACTCAACTAATAACATTCCTGTAAAAGAAAAAAATGACTTTGTAGTAAGACCTTCAACATACTCCGTATATGAATATGACTGTGATGTACTTTTCAAATGCAGAAAATGCTGATGCTATTGCAGTCTTAATTTGTCTATCACTCATCATTCAATCAAAAGAAAAATATTTAGAATATTCTCAGAGTTTCACGAGGAACTCCGCTTATGAACGTAACAGGATTGTCCAATTCGATCAATAAAGGGTTAGAACCAGATTACTACTGACCCAATCAGAACAAATTTGTTTTTATGCACCGATAGTCATCGTTCCTCCTGAAGATGAAAGAAGGAAGAGGATTTTGACGGAAACGAACTCACTTGCCGGCTTAAATTTAGGCAGGAAATTAATATTTTGCTGAGTCACAATGTGGGAGAGGCTTGCTGAAAATCCAAAGAGGAATAGACGATGTGGGTTTTTTCTGGCTCCAGCTCAGCAACACAAGGCATACCCATGTTCCTGTTGGAGAGCCTACATTTATCTCAAAGTCTAATTATATGATGTGGCAGTCCATTTTTAAGGAATCCATTTACCCACTACGGATGCTCTTAGAATGGTAAAGGCTAGCCATGAGCTTATAGGAACACTAACATCTCACTTTCCTTCTTTCGCAGTTCGCAGTTTGTCCATCCATATATCTCAATCCAACCGTTTTGAATCGGGTAATACTTGGCTCATCCTCATCATTTCTCAATGCTCCTAATTTCATATTCATTCTCCTAATTTCATATTCATTCTCTAAACTCTTACTAATTTCTTGATTCTAGGGCTTCAAATGATCTAAATCAATAAATGTTGTTTTAGGGACGAAGTGCAAATCACGTTCAACCAAGAGAGTCCAATTGCAGGTATGTATTCGTATTCCTTATGAGTTGCTTATCAGGTCTGCCAATTTTGTGTTCTTCACAAATCCTTAAACCCTCTTATATATATTATTTCACAGTTGGAGATGTCACCTATTTAGTTTGTGTTTGTGTTTGATTTAAATACTAAAACTCTGTTTGTTTTGGAAATGCACCCATTACATAGCAACTTCAAGTTACGCTTTAGGACTTTTTATTCTATTATCAAAAAGATTTAAAAGGTATGCCTTCATATTCAAAATCTCAGTAATTCTCTTTCTAAGATAGCTTTAAGGATACTCAAAATATAAATATACCCAGAAACAAACTTATTCCAGCTTCCTTCAAAAGAGTGTTTGTATTGGTCGGTTCAATTTAGATACGACCCAGTTCGAGAACTACAAAGGAGTTGTTGATAATCAAAAGAGTTGAATATTTACCATGTGAGGCCAAGAAAGATACATCGAGACTCATTCTTACCTTTCCAAAACTTGGATAGTTTGTCTTATATATAGTACTAAAGAATCAGGTATAGAACAAAAAATGAAATAAATTGGTTAATATTTTTGAAAACTAACACACACGACTTCAAGATCAGTCTTTCTATGAAAAAATAGTTTCCATAGAACTTTAGGTAAATGGTTGAGATTAAAGATGGACATGATTATTCATATGTATAAGAAAAAAACCATAATAGTTTTTAATTATGTAGTCTAGATTCCATAGCCCAATTAGCACTACCATTCTGTTGTTAGGTAAACTTGCCCAAATTTTGCTTCTTTCAAAATATAAACAAAAAATTGACTCCTCATTTATTATCCACCAGGTTGTGTTGCTCCCATTTTAAGTACAACTATATATATTTAGTGATGAAGTCAACCAACCTATTTGATAGACCTCTAAATCTATATATCAAATTTAGGGTTTGGGATGAAGTTCACTGCCGAGGTGTGCAAGCAGTGAACTTTCCACATTAAGACAAACTATATATCCTTAATTAGTCACTTTTCCCAAAACCCCCATCACTTGTGTCATCTCATTTGCCATGGAAGTTTTCAATTGTTTGCATTCATAGATTTGAACTTGATTTTCTCCTTTCAGGCTAAAGGTTTTATCTTGTAAAATTGGACTTATGGGTTGGGTGCTTACGTAATAAGTGATCCTTAGGTAAAGGATATTTCGGTTGGATTTTCCTGAAGGAAAAACCAAAAAAGGCTTGGCAAAATAAAAGGCTACTTATTCTGATAGTTCTCATGAGAAGAATCCTATTAAGCCAAATCCTAATACTTAGTTCTCGAACTAATTCCTTATCAAGTCAGCTAATTCGAAGTAATTTTTTTAGGACTCCTAATTTTTTTGTATTATTATATCAGGACTTCAAGAGTACATTTAAAAGTCTAAGTTAGTCTGCAACTCTGCAATATGGATCTTATGTGTGCACATAGATTGGTGAACTTTTTTAGTAAAATTTTGTCATTAGATACGTACTTTGGTGAAGTTCTTTTCATAAATAAGAATTTGATGAGGTAGATTATTTTGTGGTTTATAGTATAAACCACAAGATCTACCTTAGTATAAACTTTATACTAATCCCATTTGGTAACCTCATTTTCAACTTATCAACCAACCTTTTTTGTTATACACAGTAACTTTTTCTTAATTTTATTAATAAAAACATCATAATTTTTTTGTCACAATTTAGACAATTTCATTCTTATCAAGGGGCTGTGTAAGTTTTACTACTGATATTTATTCCTTGCTGGGCAGTGCAGATCTTCAAGGCCTATGGGTGGAGCTTTCCACCAATTGCTGCTTCATTACTGCTAGCGAATGGTCTCAAAGCTTTTCTTGTCTCCTTAGCTTTTCCGGTAGGGCAATCAGTATTGATGTTTGCACTTCAAAAATTATGGGGCACTGCACAAAACGATCTCGGGCGCAAGAACAAAACAAGACCCCAAAGACGTACTCCAACAATAACCATTAATGCAGGGAGAAGAGCTCGAAAGCATATCACTAGAAAGTATGATGTCTTCTCCAGTAGGATCAACCAAGTTGAGTCTGCTTTTGGT